GGGTGATGCTTTAAAGAGATTTCATATAAGAATTTATCCAATGCCCGCCCTGGCTGGGGTGGCCCAGTGGTTAGAGCTCCCTGGGGCTTCCGTCGATGGGCGCCCCACACTGGGGGGGGATCAAGCAACAGAAATGCCTCCTCTCCACTTTAGAGGGTGCAGGGGGGTGGCCACAGGGCAGGCGGAAAGCCTGGGCTGCCAGCTAACGTGTGGCCGGTCCCGGGTGACGGTGACAGACTGGAGGCCACGGGGACACACACGTCGGATAGGCCCCAGTGGGCGAGGGTCTGGCCCTGAAGGTGGCCGATGGGCCCTCTTCTCCCCCTGCCCCCAACACCCTGCCCTAAAGTTTAAAATTACTGTTCCAGGATTCTCTGTCCTTCCTGCCCTGTCCCCGTGACCCCAGAGCCCCCGGGGAATACTGGGAGCCTTTCCCTCTCGAAAATCTTATCTGCAAGCCGAGCCCGCGGGCGTCCGCAGCTGCGGCTCTGAATTATTTAAGGGCTGTTTCCTTAGGAGCGTAGTTACGGTCGGACCCGAGCGTGTGCATCCGGGGCTATTCCAGCAGCCCGGGCGCTGGGGCAGAAAGCCCAACCCAGCCCCGGGGACTGTGCTGCGGGGGGGTTTGTTTGTTTTATAGGTTTCACCCAAGAGTATTTTTTCAATTGCATCTCAGAGAGAGATAGACAGACAGACAGACATCAACGTGAGAGAGACGCATTGATCAGTTGCCTCCTGCACACACCTGAAGCGGGGCCAGGGATCGAACCCGCCACCCAGGTATGTGCCCTTGACCAGGAATCAATCCCTCGACCCTTCAGTGCTCGGGCCGGCGGTCTAACCGCTGGGCGCCACTGGCCAGGGCCCCCCTGCTGGCTTCAACGTCAGGTGAAAGGGAGCGCGGCCCAGGTGTGAGGGGACTGTCATCACCGTGACTGGCAGCAGGGCTCCCAGTGTCCTGGAGAGGACATCGGGGCGGGGGGTGTTGGGGTGTGATGTGTGCTCCCTGGCAGCCCCCGCGGCGTCTCGTCAGCATCTTCGTGACTCTGAGATGTGACCCTCGGAGACGGCGTCCGTCCCTCCTCCCGCTGGGTTTTTAGAAAGAAGCAAAACTGACTCCCGCTGCCCGCTGGCTTCCAGGCAGGGCCTGTACGAGGTCGTCCCAGACACGGTCTGTTCGGCGTCTGTCCCTTTGTTCCCAGGGCCCTTCTCTCCTTAGTCAGCTGCTGCTAGTTTTCGTAAGACTCTGGTCACTCAGCCTAGCGGTCGTTTCCCAAGCCCCGGACCAACGGGTCGGGGAAGAGCGGCGGGGCGGGCTCGCTGCGTCTGCGCTGGGCACCCGGGCACCGCCCGCAAGCAGCCCTCCGAACAGCCTTTGTTCTTGGATCTGATAAGAGATAGTCCCCCCATGTTGGAGGCGGCTCACATTTAATTAAGGAGCGGCCGGCCTTTCGTAGGCTGCCGCCTGGAGGTGCCCACGGCCCCCGAGCCAAACGCGGAGTCCCCTGGGGGGATGTGCCAATCTTTCCTTATTTCCTCCGCTGAGCCCCAGCCCTCTTTGAATGCAATTATGGGGACAAATAACACGGCTTAGCACCCCCTCCCCTGTGGGACAGCCAGAGCTCTGCTGATAAAACCAGTTGTGTGAGCAATCATTAAACGAGAAATCCAATATTTAACTAAATTTAATCGTCTGCTGCCCCGGTGCCTTTCTGAGGGGGGTGGGATTGCAGGGCAGGGGACAGGCTATTCGTATGCAGGGCATGGATCTGGGGGCGATTAGCCCACAGCGCTCCCCCCGCCGCCGCGGCTCCCGGGCCCGGGAATGGCAGATAGGTGTTTCGGTGGCAGGTCTGCGTTCATGTTAACTCCAGGCCGGCTTAATATTAACAACATGCCACCCGATTGTGACATTTCTCCCTCGGGGTCAGCACTGGAGATGGCCGGGTGAGGGCAGCGAATTCAAATGCACACGTGCGGAGAGAGGGGCACAGTCTGAAACTGAGAGGCTCCGTCCAACCTTTCGCTGGGAAATCACCTCCGGGACTGGTGTGGGACTTAGTGGTGTCGCTCACGTGGAAACCGGCGGCTTCAGGCCCTGACCAGCGTTGCTCGGTGGTTAGAGCGTCGGCCCGCGCGCTGAAGGCTCACGGGTTTGATTCCGGGCCAAGGGCATGTACCTGGGTTGCAGGTTAGATCCCCGGCCCTGGTTGGGGCGTGTGCAGGAGGCAGCCAGTCGAAGTGTCTCTCTCCCATCGATGTTTCTCTCTCTCTCTCTCTCTTTCTCCCTTTCTCCCTCCCCCTCCCACTCTCTCTAAAAAAAAAAAACCCAAAAAACAATGGAAAAATATCTTCAGGTGAGAATTAACAACAATAACAAAACAAAACAAAACATGGCTTCCAGCCCGACCAGCGTGGCCCAGTGGTTGAGGGTCAGCCCATGAACCAAGAGGTCTCCGGTTCGATTCCCAGTCGGGGCACATTCCCGAGTTGCAGGCTCCACCTCCAGCAGGGGGTNGCGTGGCCCAGTGGTTGAGGGTCAGCCCATGAACCAAGAGGTCTCCGGTTTGATTCCCAGTCGGGGCACATTCCCAAGTTGTGGGCTCGATCCCCAGCAGGGGGCGTGCAGGAGGCAGCCGATCCATGACTCTCTCTCATCATGGACGTTTCTCTCTCTCCCTCTCTCTGAAATCAATAAAAACATATTTAAAAAAACAAACCAAAAAATGTGGCTTCGATAAATAGTGGCTGAGTCTGAATGTCTTTTTTTTCTCTCTCTCTTTCAGAACTGTTTGACCTGGAAACAAATGAACATGTACAGAAGGCTGTCAACGACCGACAGATGCCCAAAGTAGAATACAGGCAGGTCAAGATCGACGACTACAGTAAGTGCTGGGCCTTTCCCTTTGAAAGGAAAAGCAAACGTCTGCTCTGAAATGGCCCCCTAGTCTCTCACACCCTGTTCCCTACTGAGGTACTTTCTCCATAGAAAGACGCTCTGGAGAGCACAGGGGTGTTCTGGTATAGAGAACCCTGTCAGTAAGGCTTTATATTCCAAGGAAATGTGCCAGAGGAAGTCTAGCCCGGCCACATGGATGGCGTCCTTGACTGGTTCAAACTTCCGCACTGAATCTGGAGTCCAGGTATTCAGATCCAAACTTATGGGAACCCTCAAATTAACTGGATATGCATTTTTGTGCTATTTTTTTTTATAAGGAGGAACCAAAAGGCAAGAAAACAAGACAATTTTAGGTTGCTAGTGGATGATGGGTGGAGGATGGATGGATGATGGATGGATGGATGGATGGATGGATGGATGGATAGAGATGAATGGATGGATGGTGGATGAATGGATGCTGGATGAATAGATGGATGGATGGTGGATTGATGGAAGGATGAATGTTGGATGGGTGGATGGATGGATGGATGGATGTTGGATGGATAGATGGATACATGGATGGGTGGAAGGATGGATATATGAATGGATGCTGGATGGATGGATGGATGATGGATGGATGGATGGATGGATGGACGGATGGATGATGGATGGACGGATGGATGGATGATGGATGGATGGATGATGGATGGATGGATGGATGGGTAGATGATAGATGGATGAATGCTGGATGAATAGATGTTGGATGGATGGGTGAATGGATGGACGGATGGGTGGATGGATGGATACACAAGCAAGCAACTTCCACATGTTTGTTCTGATCCCTCTGCACCTTCCGTGTCTGTCTATAGACCCCAGGACAGGCCCGATAACTTGTAGAGCCCAGCGCAGAATGAAAATATGGTGCTTCACTCACAGTTTGTTACGACAGCAGAGCATTAAGCCCACAGAAGGCCCTTAGGTGGGGCCCCATGTGCCTGCACAGGTTACACGCTGGGAAGCCAGGCGGGTGGACCTCCAGGGCCAGACTTCAGATTCCTGGCTCACCCCTGCCCACCAGCCAGCGAGTTTTCCAGGACCGTCCCTCACAGTTTCTCGCATCTGCTGCTTCCTACGGTGCCTTTGAGGACAGGTGGCATTCCTTGCTGAGGCACCTCCTCATCTAAACCCAGGGCCCCCTTCTCCAACCCAGTCTGCACACCGCTGTCTCAGAGGCATTTCCCAAACCCCAGGTCACGAAAGCATGATGCCACCCCCTCCTCCAAAAGGGCAGGAAAAGACCTTCAGAAGCCACTTTCCAACCTTCCCCTCCTGCCACATGGGCTTTCTTTCCAGTCTAGGGTTTTGCTCGACAGGCAAATGGGTGTGAAGAAGCCACAGAAAAACTGAAAGATGTCGCTCCACAGACCTGCTATTGTTCCGTGTGTTGTGTTTTTTCACCTGAGGCTGCGGCTTTCCTTGAGTCACCCGCCTTCTGGAAAGGCCCAGGAGCCGCAGGCTGCCAGCCCTGGCTGAGGTCTGCCCCTGGGCTTATCGTAGGTGGCAGGGAGCAGCCCGGGCCATGTTTTATGGATATTTCGGTGATAAAGTCTGAGCCTGCCTGGCTGCAGGTCCCCAGGCCATTGATCCAATTTGCAAGCCATTAACATTCAGAATCAGGAAGGAGGCCCTGGTCAGAGCAGGCTCCCCCGCCTGGGATGGATGGATGGATGGGGGTGGGGGGAGGGGGGAGCCTGTATTATTAATTCTACTGGGAAAGCTACTAATTCCTATTTAATTGCTAATCCGGGTTGTAGTTAACATTGATAAACAATTTCTGTCTTGGGTGGAAAGGTTTGGGGGACGACAGAAGAAACTAGTGAGGAAAATTCCCCCCCACCTCCACCTCCATCTCCGTCACTGGATATCACACTGCCAAGGACCAGATCCGGTGGCCTTGGGCTGCACCACCTCCCCTGTGTGTGT